CCATTCAATGTAATGGCTTGTGTCCTTCGTGAGGATTTTATCGTTATGATCTGTTTGGATTTGAAAGGTCATCAGGGAACTTTTTTTTCTACCGATTAGCGAGTTAAAACGCGCATGTTTTGTGTACCGCTCCTTCACTTACAACGCGCACACCGTCAGCTGAAGGCCTAACATGAATTTAGTACTATAGCGTGTTGTTTTGGAAGGGCTAGTTTTGCTGACCCTGGTAAAACTTGCACTAGACATTTGCATAAATCATATTTGATTGATAATCTTTTTTTTGCCATTTGCTCTTTTAGTAGCAGTGAAAACGACCACCAAGTTACATTTACTTTCTGCGTCGACTGCCATGTTACAAATCCGTTTCTTTGCTTCTAAAAGTCCTCCATGAATTAAATATTGTTTAAATGATACTTTCCCATTACAATTGTGTGTTTACGTTTAACTCGCCAGTATGGATTAGACTTTCTTAGATGAAATGCCATTTTCCAGTAAGCAGCGTAAATTTTATGACATAAATCTACTTCAATGAAAAATATTTCACAGGCGACAGAATGGTATGGTCGGTTAATTTTCCATGCAACTCTCACGTGCTTATAGACATTTTCTACCAGTAAAATTCGCTTTTAGCTAACCTGGACCTTACCCCATTGCGTGTCAATTTCCTGTAAACAACCTGCATTTTTTCAGGTATTTCTCGCGCACGGCGCAAAGTCCAGATAGGCAACAACCAATCAAGTAGCCCACCTTATTATCCTTTGAAGATTGATACTTTCTCTTGGCTCAATCTACTTTCACTTGTTCGAAGAACGGAGACTAGAAAATATATTTGTCCAGAGGCTGTAAGAGTTAAAATATAATTATAGAGCTTTACATTGCAAAATTATATGGAAGAATATTTTGAGGCAACCATCTGTTACTGAACAAGAGGCTACATGGAGCCTGTGTTTGGGCCGGATTTGTGAATCAGTGGATTGAATTGAATTGGTTCGAATTGAGGGCTTTGCTGTTTCAGCAAAATGGCTGTCGAGTGCTTTTCATGGTTTGTTAACATGGAGAGTTATGGAAACTAATAAGAGTTCGGAACAAGTTGATGCCATCCATGACAATTTGGAAATACTAAAATCGCCAGAGGAAATGCGGGATCACTCATTAAAAATTTGCATTTGAACACGATGCCTTTGTTTACAAAGATTTCTCTTGCTTACATCTAATAACAAACCTTTGAAGTTTTTTTTTACCTTGGAACGATATATCACAGAAGGCATTTTATAGAACTCAAGTTTTTTGACTGATTGAAATTAAAGGTATGTGGCAGTGACTTCCAAAAGTTTTTATTTTGGTCAGAAACGGTATAATTGTTTTGTCCGCAATATTAGTATACGGATGGATTCAATTGCCAATGTTTACATAAGATGATTGTATTAATTAATCGAATTTAAACAATGGGCCAAAACTTTTACTGTTCCCAAGAGTTGTTGTTTTCATCAGTACGTTAACAATAGAAGTGATTCACGGTAATAGGTTTGCACTTTAAATAAATATATTTAAGTTCACTCGAAAGATGAGTATAAACTGTAAGAGGCTACACGGAGATGAGTATAAGATGAATATAAACTGTAACAAGCTTATCGTTGATGTGCAGCCAGTACTTCAAATCTGACTGACACTCGATGCCAAAACTCAACCTCATTCCCAGGCTATGTCCACCACATTGCTTTATGCTAATTAAAAACTGCGTGCTATTGTGCATTTTCTTGCACAGGAAAACCAAACGCAATTTCTGGTTCTGGCCCTGAATGGTCAGAATAATAACTAGGACTTTGTTTCTGACTTCAAGGAATGGCAATAAGTACAATTTTAACCTACAAGCAGGTCGTTGTTTGGTCTCGTCATGCAATGTTGGAGAGAGAGAGAGCGTTGGGTGACAAGTTCAAATTAGGGCTGTGGAGGGGACTGCAGGAAGCGTTGTACCAATGCAGTTTATTTTTGCCAACAATCATTCAGACACCAGCATCAGTTATATAGTGTCCCATTTCAACCTACGTATCCAAAAAAATAACTCCTGCATGCCAAGCATGCAGGAGTTATTTTGATTGTAACATTGTCTTGATTGCTTTCAGCTTGCGCCACGTGTGCTGATTCAATCGTAGTACAGTTCTTAGTGTTCAGTGTTCCAGCTGTTTCGGCGTGTTTTCTTTTCTTTATTTCGGTCTTAAAATGATCGATTTCATGTTCATGGAAGCACATGATCGCCTTTACTGTTTCTTGCTCTGCGTTACGGATTTGCTTTATCCCTTTTGGAAATCCTCATCTGCTTCACTCAACTCTTTGAGAGATTTTGGCCATCTGTCGGGATATCTCGAGTCGGTACTACACTTACCCCAACAACAGTGTTTGGTACCAACCATTCCTTGTCTTTCAGGAAGCTAACTTCCCGATTTGATGAAGTTTCTCACTTTTTTCCTTCAGTACCGCACTCCACGCTCACACATTTCCTTGCAAATGATCACAGTGTTTGTCTGAGTCTGTGTGGGGTGACCTTGTGGTGAGATCTATTTTTAGTAAAAGTGCAAAGCGTTATTGTACATCTATCATATATGGTTGTTATGCCATAGTTGAAGCATGTCTGATGGCAGTTATATCACTCATATGTTAAATAATTTCCCAGGCTCTGAATGGCTTTTTACTGGTGTTATCTACCAGTGGAGACTTTGTTTATGTGTCTAAAAGCATTGAAGATCTCAGTGGTCTAAAAAAGGTGAGTTGAGACATGCAGGTATTGGTTGTAAACATAAGTATAGTGTGACATATTCTCATATTCTCCATACTGTTTTCTGTATATTTCCTTTGGTGCTGACAACAAGTTTTAACAATAGAAGCTCCCTAGGTGGATATCATTTCCTTTAATTTCATTATCTTTATGAGGGATTAGATGCTTGATGAGAAATTAGATACTGGTCACCCTGGGGTTAAAAGGATTAAACTCACAATGAAGCAATTCATTCAAGAGGGATTTGTTGTTGAATTTTGCGAGTGCTTTTAGTGTTGTCTCTGGTATTTATTAGCAGGGCTAGACACTAACTTTTCAACTTACTGGCAAAGTGGCAAGTGACATCTTAAATGTTACAACAATTTCAGTTTGTTATTAGCCAACCTGGCTGGTGGAAATTGAAAACCACGGGCCAAAACTGAATTTCTACTAGTCTGTGATTAGTGGGCTACCATTAGTGTCAAGCCCTGTTTAGTGCCTTTCATTGTGATTTCCAATTTGTATTTTTTTTTTTCATTATTCTTTTTTAGGAAGAACTGATTGGCAAGAGTATATTTGAAATTGTTCATCCAGATGACAAAGAAACTATGATCAGAGAGATTCTTCGTCAAGACAGAGGACATTCTACAGGATTCAACTCTCATTCTGAACAGCTGGAACCAGCAGGTACATGTGCATGTACATGCAGTGTTTATCTAAGCTGTGTGGCGTCTTTTTGTTCTCACTGACTGTAAATCCTCTAGTAAGCTGTGGGGGGCTTCTTATTTCAGGTACTTTGGGAGGGTGGCTTACTAGAGGGGGGGCCTTTTAATTAAGCCTGATGTTCACTACAAGGATACAATAGGATGTGATGTACGGTATTTAAGTACAAAAATTGTTCTCATTTTACATTTTTCAACTCAATTTCATGATGTAACTCTCTCAATGGACCTTGTTTAGCCATGTTATATTTTTAGCATCACCGTAGTTACTGTATTCTTTTGATGCCAACATGATAAAATCAATCAATCAATCAATCAATCGCCATGATCAATTTTAAATGACAAACTAAAATTGTAATACTTGAATAAATTTATAGTACTTACTGACATGGAGTGTTATTTTTAATTTTGTTTTTGAGAGGGGAGGGGAGGGGGGTTTAATAAATTTCTTTCTCTAAAGGTGAGGCTTATTAGTGTGGGGGGGCGGCTTAATAGATGATACACGGTAGGTTGTAGTTAATGTAAACCGATTATCACTGCTTCTATCTAGTATCTCCTATGCTACTAAAACCACTACATTACTATTATTATGATAATCACCATCATTATTATCATTAGTGGTCTCGTTATCATTTTCGCCACTGAGGTCATAATTGCCATGCCCTTGTCATTGTGATTAATTAATCTATTAAAATCATAGATGTATAGCTTGTTGTTGTATTCAGCTTCAGTATTCATATTATAATTGTACATTTTGCATTTGCTATGATTTCTTTTTTAGCTACGTAGTTGACTCAATTTCAATAAGTTTAAGGAAGGTTTTTTTTCTCTGAAGGAAATGACACTTCATTCCAGAGTAAAGTGGAAAGCAAGCCATCTCGACGAACTTTTAACTTCCGCATGTTAGTGAGAGGAAAAGATGGTGAGCCAGCTGGCAATGAGGATGTTTTCTGTGTTGGCTACATTGACCAGTGGATGAGGAAAGAAGCTGAGCATCACAAGCAAAGTAAGAAATTACAACTTACAAGACTGGCATTACTATGGCAAGGGGAGTCAGATAGGGCTTGGTGTTCATATCAGACTTACATGTAAGAAATTACAACTTACAAGACTGCAATTACTATGGCAAGGGGAGTCAGATAGGGCTTGGTGTTCATATCAGACTTACAACATTCTTTAATG